TCCTCCTCCTCCTCCTCCTCCTCGAGAGGTATCGCTTGCTCGTGTTGCTGCTGCTGCTCCTCATCGCCGTCGCGCTTTACCTCCTCCGTGCCAGCTTCAACGACCTTCCCGCTCGAGCCCACAGCCACCTCATCTTCGACAACGGCACCCGCGGCCTGCTCCCCTTCCTCCTCCATCTCCTCTGCGAGCTCGTCGCGCTCGGCAAGCACTCCCGCAGCTTCTCCCTCCACCGGTCCGACGACGTTACCGCCGTCAGTCCTTCTCTCGGACGTCACCGGCTCGACGGCGGCTGCAACCGGGCAAAAGAGACCCTGCGGCTGCTCCTCCAACCACGGGAGGAGCCGAACAGGCGAATACGACCCGTCGGGTACGGGGCCCGGCGCCTTGCCTTGACCCTCGAAGCCTAGGAAAGCGACCGCGCCTACCGACACCGCCACGGACAAGGCCGACACCACGAACGGGCGAAGCCACGCCGACCACTTCCCCCGCCGCTCTCCTCCTCCTCCACCGCCCTCGTCGCTGGCGCTCGCCGCCTTCGAACCCCCCCAGCCAGGGCTCAGCGAGGACGACGACCGGCACGGCGAGGCCAGGCAGGCCTCCTCCGCCGCCATGCGTTCCGCTTCCTCCATCTCAAACCGCACCCTGCGCTTCACGGTGCTGCTGCCCTCCGTCGCCGCGAACCCCTTGCCAGGCCCGCCCGACAGGATGCCCTTGGTTGGGGTGCAGCTGACCGATATACTGCCGCCGCCGTGAGGGGAAAACGATGGCCACGAGAGGCCGCCGCCGCCCGACACCGCTGATGCTTTCGCCGCCGTAGGCGCGCGGGGCGGCGGCGGTTTCATCTCGAGGGCGGCGTACCTAGCGGCGGAGGCGGTGGCGGCGGCGAGGGCGATCGCCGATGTCCGCTGCTGCTTCGGGGATTGCTGCTGCGCCCTCAGCTGTTCGTCCTCCTCCTCCTCCTCCTCCTCCTCCTCCTCCTCCTCAACCTCAGGCCGGAAGAGCTTCCGGTTGGGCAGTTTCATTCGTTTCAGCCTCGTCGTCCCGCCGCCGTCCAGTTCCTGCCCCTCGTGGTCGCTGCCACTGCTGCTGCTGCAGTAGCTGCTCAAGCAGGCATCGCTGCCGTCGCCGACAACGCTGTCGCTCCTGGCGGTGAAAGGCAAGGTCCAGCTCATCGACCCGCGCAGATCCGAGGGAGTCATCCGGCCACCGCTGCCGGCACCTCCAACACGGCCGTAGTCTTCCTTGCCCAGCTCCGACTCCTCGCTGCCGGGGGAACCGACGTACGCCCCGTCATCCCGAGTCTCGTCTCCGCCTGCCCGATGCGCCGCCGTCTGCAGCTGCGACGGGTTCTGAAGCAGCCGCTTCAGCGTAGGCGACATGAGGTTCTTCTTCCGAAGGGCAAGCCGCGCCGCGCGCCGGAGCCCGTCCGAACACGATGAGGACGGCGGCGAGGGTATCTGCGAGGCGCCGCTACCGCTGCCGGCAGGAGAGCGAAGGCCGAAACAAGTGCCACCACCGGCAGCGGTGGTTGCGGTGGAGGCCTTGGTGGCAGGGCTGCACGGCGCGCTGGCGCTCATGGCAGCGGGGATGCGCGACAGGGAGATGCCCCCGCCACCGCCGTCCCCAGCATCTGTCAGGACTCGGCTCAAACCGCCGCCGCCACCCCCGCCGCCACCGCCGCCGCCGCGCGCGAGACCGCTAGCAGACGACGAAGATGATGAAGGCGCTGCCGCAGACTTCGCTACGCCTGCGGTGGCGAGCCGTTGCTGGTCCTTCAGCCTCCTGTCTCGCTGTACCTTCAGGGCCACGAGGCTGCGGTGTTGCGCCTGGGTCACCCCCGCGGGCCGCTGCCCTCCCCCCCCTCCCCTACGTGTGGCCATCACCATCCGAGTGGCCGCGGACGCCGCCGCCGCCGCCGCAGCATCAGCAGCAGCAGCAGCAGCAGCAGCAGAGGGCTCTGCCGTCGTGTCAGCATGAGCAGTGAGAGTGGAAGAAGACGCAACACTAGAGGCAGCGGACATTGAGTCGGCAGCGGCGGCAGCGCCAGTAGCACCGCCACCACCACCAACACCACCGGCGGCGGCGGCGGCGGCGGGGACGCTAGAGCTGGGACCATCGTTCTTGGAGGTCTTGCCGGCGATAAAGTTGGACACGTGCGGCTGCTCCTGCAGCACGGCCCTCTGGTTCGCTCGGTCCAGGGCGTGGTACATGCCTCCCCCCTCGGCCGGCCTGGGGAGTTGATGAATCACCGGGGCAGGCGGAAGAAATGGGATGAAGATAGCAAGGGGCGGTGAAGGGAACGGGAGAGTGGAAGGAGACGATGTAAAGCGCCTATGAAGCTAATGTATTTGTCGCAACACCGCTGGGGCTTCGACATGCGCCGTGCCCCAGCGTGTATGCAACTGGCGACGGAAGGTCAACACAGAAAAAATGTTTCGGAGGTGCATGCAATCACCACGGAGAGTGGGTGGGTCTAGAGGAACTGCGACCGTGTTTCTGCAAGCATATTGCGCCCGATCATTCAAGCCGGTTCAATCTGTGTTCCTCTGCAAGCGATTGTCTGCGACATCTGACTTAAACCCAAAGCGGGCTGTTGGATGGGACGCAAATGTCGATTGCAGGCCGGACGAATGTACACCCCGAGGCCGAGCCTGGCCGAAAATTGAGTGGTCGTGTTCCACGCATGTCGGGAAACGTCGAGAGCACACCCACGACACTGTTGTGCGCACGTCACGTAACTCAGCAGAGCAGCCAGTCAACTCGATCTGCCACACCCTTTCCTTTCCTCGTCCCTGTCCCACCGTCCATACTCTTCTTCTGTACACACAAGTACAGATACACAGGTACACATTTTGAATATATCCTTCTCACGCATCCCCTCACCCTTCCCGCTCTCTACTCCTCTCTCCCAAGCACCCTAATACAGCCTGTACGAACAATAGCCCCTCACCACAGGCGCATGAACTCTCCGAACGTGTGCCGCCCCTCGCGCCTAACGGTGGCATCGGCGTCGAAGAGGGCCTTCCGCAGCTGCCCCATGATCGGCGGCAGGGTGGTCCGGAGAGTATCCCGCGGCCAGCGCTCGATAGCGACGCACAAGAAGCCCGACCCCTTGCGCCGCAGATACGCTGAAAAAAAAGAAGCAAGGTCGGGGGGAAGGGGAGATGGATCGGTACAGCACTGGGCCCTCTATAATGCCGGGGTGTGTTCAGAGATTGCTCCTGCACAATACCGGACATCTGCACTATTCAAAGTACAGAACGGCTTGTCGTTTCAGTGTGTGCGAGCCGAAAACAAGGGCACAATACCGGGCACCTGCGCTAGTCAACCTGCACTATAAGAGGGATGAATGCATTCCAACTTGGATACCACCCCCCCGACAGTATTCCTCTACGAAGCCCTATCCCCCACCGGTGATACTATTCCCAGACGCTCATCAATGTGTTCATCACGAGGGTGTGGTTGAGGTTCCAAACTGCAGCGCCACCGCAAGGTCTTCACCTTTCTTGGAGCCAACCAGAGACACTGTGGCCGCCCGCAGAACGCTGGGAGAGGGGCACTCCGCCAGCATGACCTCAACGCTTCCCACAGCCGCCTCCTGCACTGCCTGAACATCAACAAGAAACCGCGGGAAGAGAAGACATGGCGGGAGGGGGAGGGGGACACCTTGATTGGGTTTTTGTAGGTGACTCTCAGACCCTCAGATGGGGGCAGGGTAATGAGTGCAATGGCCACATGGTGAGGTGTAATTGCCCTTCTTTTGGCATCCGCCCTACGTGGTTTCACCGTTGTTGTTTTCCACCCGCACGGACACCTGCAGCAGGCAAAAACAACGGCAAGTCTGCCAAGCAACAACAAAAAAAACACACAAAGAGAGAACTCGTTGTGGCCTTGAGAAACATTTTGTGTTCGCAACCGCCGTGAGACCGAAGTTTTTTCATTGGTCAGCCGGCTAGCGCCGTCGATGCTAATAAGAACGAAACATGCAGAGAGAGAGGAGAATCGAAATCACAACAAATAAACAAGGAAAAACGAAGATCGTATTTCTCTCACCTCCCTGGGCGTGCTCAAGAACGGCAGCAGCGCGGGAATGATGGCCGCCGCAGGAGCGCAGAAGCCCGACCCCACCGCCTTCGCCAGCCCGGAAACGACGGCGCAGACCAGCTGCGTAACCCGAGCCGCCCCGGGAACTTCGGCCCGGGTGTTCGTTAGAGCGTGGCACACGAGTGCCAGCGATTCCTGGGGTTGCGGGGGGGCTGTCTCTTATACACATCTGTGNGGGGGGGGGGGGGGGGGGGGGGGGGGGGGGGGGGGTACGTGAATCAGAGGTGGTAGACGGTACACTTCTCGTGGGTATCCTCCTAATGCTAAGATCCTTGACCACGCGCCTCTCCGTCAACCCATGCTCACAGTAGTACGGGCGCCTTGAATACTACAAAGATGGTAAAATTAGATAACCACACCGTTGAAACACACCAATGAACGGAAGCATGCCTCCTTTACGGGGTCGGCGAGGGAAGGAACGGCTGGATCTTTCTTGCGGTGAAGTTACGAAATGAAAGCGCGCACCTTACAAGGGAAGGTGGAGAAGCAACGACAATCAAAAATAACGAATCTTGTTTGGCTTTCCTACTGTGACCCCGTCTAGTTCGTCCAGAAAGCATTCTACCCCAACAGGGCGAAAATCGTGGAGTGTAAAGACTGACATCCAGAATATCGAGGGAGGACACAAGTCCGACGTAGCACAGAAGTCGGAATGCTTGAGCGATCGCCTGCACGGCATCAACCCCCTCCCAGCACTTGGCACACTCGCTATCAACGCTCCGAACCCAATTTTCTTTACGCTACCCGTGGAGCTAGGAAAAGGCATATGTGCCGGCTACTGGTAATAAGCAAGGCTGCGGTTACGGCCGTTTGGCCGGCGGTTATGACCTTTCATGGATATGCCATATGCATACGTCACGGTGTTCTTCGTACCATGAAGGGCACCAGATCGCGAGAGTCCTGGGCGTCGATCCCCCCTCCTCCCTCCACCGCTGCCAGCTGGTCCAGGAGCTGCCGAAGCGCCATCGCCTTGGACCGCCAGTCATCGCCATTGAGAACCTGTTGACGCCGTCGAATCGTTGGGAAACAGCAAGAGGGCGGCAATGGGAGGGGGAGGGGGGAGGGGGGAAACGACATTTATTGTCGAGATGGCGATCGATACACACGCCAGGCCAGGCAGCACCTACAGCTGTTGTCCAGCACAGTGCCACGAGACACACGCGAGGCGCGTTTAACGGTGGGTGAGGAAGAATGTTTTTTGTGTCGACTGCTATCGACGGCATTGCGCACATCATACAACACGCAATTAGGGAGGTAGCGTCTTCAACAAATGGGTAGGCTTCTCCGCTGTGTTGTAGGGGAACCGTTGTGGGAAAACAGACACCCCTTTGGTGGAGAGTGAGTGACATGCACCATCAGCAACGCGATTCGCCAGAGAGCACACCCACAAACGCCGGAAGCTCGTACCTGCGCTGCCTCGTTCAAGCTGATCGGAGCAGGCTTCCCGTAGTCGGTGAGCACCGCTGCCGGCACCTGACCGGTGCGGTCGTCTGCCGCACCACCACCAGAACCGGTTACTTCCTGGGCACCTTTTCGCTTGTCGGCCATCCTGCCCAAATCGCGTGCCGACGCTGCTGCTGATTCGCCACTGCTCCTGCTGCTACTGCTGCTGCTGCTGTTGACGTCAATCGCATCTCGCTGTCCGGATAGGGCGGACGCGAGCCGCCGTACCGTGCCAGGGGTGCCTCCCGCCTGCGAAGGGGACGGAGGCACGAACATTCCTCTCTCTCGCTCGTCGACCCAATGACGTGCTGTACAACGGCAACAAATCCAAACGTCCTCTCAGTTTGCTTCCCCGCGGCCAGAGGCACGCACACGCCAGCTGGGAATAGGCTTTTACCACTCCTGCTGTTCCTTCCTCTGCTGTTCTCGCTGCTACTGCTGCCGACGTGTGATAGGACCAAGAACCAAGCGCCAGGCACGAGCGAGCGAGCGCGCAAGTGTGAAGCAAGTTGTGGGCACGAGCGGAAAATGACCAACGGTATCTCCGACGGAGATCTGATGCGGCGGGAACGATTTTCTTCGAGTTGGCGGAGAACGCGGAGAATGGAGAACCTGTCACCTTGGTCGCCTGTTATTACGTTATTACCTGACAACCTGGCAAAGGCAGCACGCACACCGGCACCGGAGCACACTTGAGAATAAGGCGGGCAGAGGCGGAAAAGGTGGGGATCTCTTCCACTGTTGTCTTGATATTTGGGTCGCTTGTTGGTATGTCGCGGGAAGAGAAGCATGTGTAGCAGCAATTGCTCGTTTGCCGCCAGCCTGTGCCAGCTGGGGTGCTGCATGCTGCTGCGCTGCTGTTGATAAGCACGCTCGCCTTCTCCTCTAACGAGTCGCACCGCTTTGGCGTGCCATAAAGACCTGACACTTCGTCGAAAGGAGTGCTGAACCAACAGTTTACCTGCCGCCGGCACCTTCTAGTGATGAGTGAGGCTGAATAAGGATGGAGGCAATCTAGGCCGCCCTTTCCTTTTATCCGTGACGCTGCTGCTGCATGGTGTGATGGAACAGCTGGAAGTCATGTATGTTTTCGAAAGCCGTGCACGCCGGTGGCGGGGCTACAGCTACGGGCATCAATTGGGGCGCTAGGGTACAGCACACCTGACAACCTATCTATCGGTGGATGACCCTTGCTGTTAAATTGTTCTACCAACCTTACAGCAGTACTGCTGTAGAGTCTACATGTAGATTGTCGTTGTTGTCGTCTTCACATTAAACCGTATGTCAGTTGCTAAATGCCAAAATCTAGCGAAAGACTCTCAGCCCGTGGTCACGAAAGTGCTAGAGCCATCTGAGGGTCAACTGGGGAGGCTCTATTCGTATGGCGAAATCCAGCACATTATCCGCAGGTCACCTTGCTCGCTGCTCCACATTACGCACCAGAGTACATTCTACCGAAGCGCAGGAGAGGGTCCAACCCCCCCTCCCATGTGACCCGGTTGGGTCGTTTAGCTGGTAGAAGTGGAGGATAGGGGCCAGAGGGGCAGACGACAGAGTCCAAAAAAAAATCTACCCTCAACTGCCCTATTCTAGTGTCCACAGGGCACGATGTTCCAGCGGATTCGCGAACAAGCGTCTGTGTGGTAGCAAGCGGGTAGACATGCCCAGAACAGGCGACCCGAGGCATGCTGCGCTTTCCACCCCGATTTTACCTGCAACGAAGGTTAGGAGGTGCTGCCGGTCTTTGTATCTCCTGTTATACTGCTGTAGCCGTGCTACACTTGTAATACGCCGTTAACCGCCGTGGCGGGATGCAACGTGCACGTCTCTCCGGAAGACTATCGCCACACCTTTAGAAGCTGGAAACGAATCGTTCGTGAAGTCGGCCGACAGTCTGTATCTCCATCTCTCTATCGTTCTATCTCGTACACCCTGTGTCACCCAACAAGCACACACAGGCGAGGGTGAAAATCGGCAGAAAGAAAATACGCCCGAGCTTCGTAGCAGTGATCTGCGTGCGTACATTTGAACTGAGCTAAGGCCGGTCGCCCCGGTGGTCTTGTGGTATCCTCGTAAACCGCTAACCGCAGAGATCGTGAGTCCGAATCTCCATGGGGTGAAAAACTTGCTAAACTTGCGGGTGAAAGCGAAATATAGTTGAAAAGCTCTCGTTAGTACCAAAGTTCGACGTTAGCACCGTTGACGAGGGAAAGGGACGGCTGGACCCTTCTCGCGATAAAAATAAATTCAGCACGCACCGCAGGAGGAAGGTGG